ATTAACTAAAGTCTTTGCTAACTATTCTCATATTAAAATTGCAACTAAAAATGTTAAGACATTAGCATCATTATATACAAAAACTAAATCACCTATTAGCATTATGGAAAGCTCAAATGTAGTTTATAGAATACCATGCCAAAATTGTGATAAGTCATACATCGGACACACATCTAGAAACCTAATAGGTAGACTAACATCACATAAAAGTGACCTTAGAAATAATAAAAATACGTGTGCATTAATAGATCATGCAATTAATAATAATCATTCATTTAATTTTAATGAAACTAATATATTAAGACGTGAAAACCAATTAAATAAAAGAGAATTTTTAGAAATGGTATGCATAAATAAATATCAATGCGTTAATAAAAAAACTGATATTAACAAACTAAGCAATATCTATAATTACATTCTATCTTACGAAAATTAATACTTTAATTTTCTAATATATGATTTTCTGACTATAAATACTATATTTTCAAAAATTTAAATATTCATATTTGGCGCCACTTTTTACGTAAGCATAATAACAATCTAGAGCTAATTATCAATAACAAAAACTGACACGAGTGTCTTTCTGACATAAATCAAACATCATTATAATAATCAATGTCATAATATATTCAAAATTAAAATATTGTACTTATATAAAAATATAATTTAGATAAGTTAAGAATGTTTTGTGAATTTAATAATTTAATGGTTTAACCTCATGTAAGTTTTTATATTAGTTTTATACAATGTTTTTTTATATTTATATATATATATATATATATATATATATATATATATATATATATATATATATATATATATATATATGTTCGGAAAGATTTCCGCGGTTAGTACAATAAAACTTAGAGCTAAGATTAATATTATTACTAAAATTAATATTAAACTCACCAGTCTTCCGGTTGAACCGCGTCGTAATCCATTTTGCCAAGCTTTCGGCATCCTCTTTGATGCCTTCCTCAGGGCTTCCGAGGTCTCAGTCTCCCGAGCCCCCAGACACTACTGCACTGTTCACTATTCACTGCACGTGATAGTGATAGTGATAGCACAGTAGTAGTGATCGTGCAGTGAATAGTGAACAGTGCAGTAGTGTCTGGGGGCTCGGGAGACTGAGACCTCGGAAGCCCTGAGGAAGGCATCAAAGAGGATGCCGAAAGCTTGGCAAAATGGATTACGACGCGTTCAACCCGGAAGACTGGTGAGTTTAATATTAATTTTAGTAATAATATTAATCTTAGCTCTAAGTTTTATATATATATATATATATATATATATATATATATATACAGGGTGGTCCTTAAGTAATTGTACAAAAAGAAACCATAGATTCTACACTTTAAAATATTACGAGCTAAGTCAAGTTGCTTTAATAAAATGTTAAAGTGGAAATTTAAAATTTTATTTTTCGCTATAACTTTCATGTTTGCCAACATTTATGAACAAAAATTTACAACTAGATACTAATAAACATGAGAAATTATAAATTGATGTACACTTTGATGTAACTGATAGAGGGCGCTGCATATGCTACACATGTGGCATAAATTTACACGTAACTTTTTTGGTTACACGTGGTTTCTACAAGATGGTACACCATTATATTACAGAGGAAGCGGAGTGAGACAGTATTTAAATACACTTTCCTGAACGTTGGATTGTTCGTGGTAGTCATCTTCTTGTGGTGAGATAATAATATAATTTCTTTAGAACCAATGATGCTATTTAATATAAGAAGTATTAAAAAGTTTAATGTTATTTAGTTTAACTATTTTTTAATTTGTTTTGTAAATAAAATGTTTTGATTATGACTTTAATTTAATACAAAACCTAAAATGTTTGATGTAAAATCCAATTATTCTGTTATTTTATCAAATCCTATTATTAATTATCCTGCTAATATATTTATTTTATTAGCATTAAATCAGAATTATGCAGTTGATTTGTAAAATGCGATTTTTTCAAAAACTGTTGAGTTTTAAAGTTTTTAACAAGTATACCTTTTTTTTGTTAAAATAATGTATCTTTAATATTTTTTATCAAAAAACCGGTAACTTGAAGAACAAAAAAGTTAAGTGCAAATGTATGCCACGTATGTGGCATATGTGGCGCCCTCTATTAGCTATATCAAAGTATGCATCAAATTATAATTTCTGATATTAAGTAGTACCCAACTGTAACTTTTTATATATAAATATTTACAAACATGAAAGTTATAGCGAAAAATAAAATTTTTAATTTCCACTTTAACACCCTGTATCTTTTTTAATATTAACATTTTATTAAAGCAGGTTGGCTTAAATCGTAATATTTTAAAGTATAGAATCTGCGGTTTCTTTTTGTACAATTACTTAAGGACCACCCTGTATATATATATATATATATATATATATATATATATATATATATATATATATATATATATATATATATATATATATATATATATACAGACGGATGCTGAGAATTACGGCGCATGAGTAAACAAAAAGAAGTACTCAGCATAATCAAAGAGAGAAAAATACAACACTGGGTTATCTGTTGAGAGGTAAAAAAAATGAATTACTCCAAATCATATTGAAAAGTAAAATGCAGGGCAAAATATCAGTTAGAAGACGCCAGAATTCTGGCTGGTAGACCTGAGAAGATGGTTTGACCGCTCATCCACAGAAATCTTTTGTGCACCAGTTTCTAAAGCTACAATTGCAATTTGGATCGCCAACCTTTGGAAGAATATGATGCAATTAAAAGAAGAAGGTCCTGCTTATTGGACATAATCATTGTCAGCGCCGAAATTTACTTTTTTGGCAGGTAAGATCCTTTCTCCCTCCAGTACAAAAACTATATATAGTCTCTGGTCATCGGACCCTTGAGGATCATAGCTTCAGTCTTTTCGGCCGCCAACCTAAGGTCCCTGCTTCCCATTCACGTCTTCACCAATATAAGAAGCAGGTGAATCTCCATTGAATTTAAGGAGGCAGTATATCACCGACAAAAATGTAGCATGTACTATTGTACCATTAGCAGAACAACAATATCTCTCAAAAATATCTGCAATTTAGCCTATCTTAGATTTGACTATAAGATACTGGTTTAAGAAAACATCTTCACTTTCGGCGGTAAGCTACAGAAATCTTTCAAAATATAAAAGGGTTCTATATAAGGGTTATCTTTCACATCCAACTTTACCCTATCCTTCTTTGGTGTTCAGATCTCCCATTACTATGTTAATGTGTCCTCATCACTTCTTTCAATCTGTCATAGAATTGTTTAGTTTTTTCATCATCGTCTTTGTCGGCTACAGGAGTGTATATTTGTATCAGATTTATGTATATCTAATTTTAATTACTTTTATATTTTTTATTTTAGTTTTCAGTTTTCAAAGATTTTCGTGTAATGGTGGTCGATGTTCCTTTTACTTCTTTAAAAAAAGTAGGACGTTTATTTTTAAATTGGTACAGTGCAATCAACTTGTTTTTTTTTAACTTGTTTTATCTCTACATAATAGTGATCTTTATCTCAAGCTATTAAAATACAGGAAATTTATTTTACGATATATTTTTTAATGTGACAAAAGAACAAGGATGCTCACGATGTGGACATCCGATCTATTCATATAAGGATCGTAGCAGGACCGGCAAAAAATCGAAACTTAAAAATCTCTCACGACCTGTAATAAGACTTCCGATTAGAATGAGAAAAAACGAGAGGAAATATATAAGAAACCAGTTTGTAAATCCCTTGAAAACATAACAGCCACCCAATTATAGACAACGAATCCATATCGGGACCAGTTTAATAAGTGATGGAGATAAGTATCATGTAAAACAGGCTTAATCTTAAGCGACGGATAACACTGAACTTCCACCTATATATATTATTAATAATTAAGACCGATTTTGATATTCTCAGATAGATTTTTAAGTGTTTATAGTATGGGGGCGCTTTTTATTTGAATACTATTCGTATGAGGTATTAAAAAGCGAAAACTTAAATATTTTGAATATGCCAAGAGAGGATCAAGATAGAGTTTGCTACAGTTGTTTATCAAAGGTAAAATTTAAGGTAAAAGAGATAGAGAAAGAAGGCGAATGGTTGCGAAATCTAACAGAATGATTTAACTTGAGATTCATCCAATTTTTTTGAGTTACCATAAATAAACTGAAACTTGACATGTTGTTAACCAACTTTCCGTTTAAGGTGGAACTTTCGGTGGACAAAGAAATATGTTTATTTAGTAAAAATGAAAAACAATTATCTGCAATAAAGGTCTGAGATTATAATTGAGAGTAACAGCTCGACACTGAAGCAAGTACACATAAATAAGCTCCGGTCCTTTGAAATGTGGTGTTACATCAGGATGCTTAGAAAATGAACACGGGATTACTGCGGGAAATGGGCGAACAATATGAGCAAATGAATGAACTCTATTATATAAACTTAAACCAAATAACTTAATTTGTTAACTTAACCAACGTTGTTTCTGACAGAAAGGTTCATTCTTCACAAAAAGAAGTGCTTGTAAATATTTTTGTTCAAAATCATCTCAGCTACATTTTTTATTTGAAATATTTTTTCTACAGCGTACGGATTCTTAGTAATTCGATTTTTTGCCCCCCCCCCTCATTACAAGGAAACTTTTAGTAAATGGGATATGCTGATCACGAATATGTACTTAGTTTTTTTTCCAGCACGTCAGGTTTTCAAGAAAAGTTTAAAATTTAAAATTTAAAATTTTTCATAGAAACTGACAAAAATACTGAGAAAATACTTATTGAAATTTTATTTAATACAAAATAACACTGCAAAATTGAGTTGTTCTTAAAAAAGAATTCAGTATAACCTACGTTGGAGAATATTTGGTTTTTTAATAAAACCGTTCTCTTTTTCCATGAAACGTTTTAGGGTCTTCTTTTTGTGGATTTTTGTGGTTGAGTCTCTTTTCAAGGTCCAGCAGTAATCAGCCATCATTCCCATCTTCCTTGCTAACGTCTCTCCATCGCCTTTATATCTTGATGGAACCTCTCTTCCTGATTTTCGCTGACAGCTCTAAGATTTTCGGAAAATAGTCCAAAAAAATCCAGAAAATAAAGTTTGACGCTCAAATTGCATCCCAGTTTTTTATAATTTTCGACCATGTTGGCTACAATTTCTTTATAGTTTGGAGACTCGTTGTTTCCAAGGAAACCGTCTATGACTTCTACGAAAGAACTCAATGCTTCAGATTTATCCTGGATCATTGTATTCTAAAAAAATCTGTCCGATTTTAAGGTTCAAATTTGAGGGCCTACAAAAATCTTCGTTAAGTTTAGCTTCAGAAAGTGCAGATCCCAGATCTTGACAATCCTACTCGCACAGAAAACAAGGATACTTTGTGAATCCAGACTGTTGACCCAAAAACATGGATATTATTTTGAGATCCCCACAAAGTTACCAACAATATTCGCTATACTTTATTTTATTTAGCAACAGCTCAAGAGTAACAGGCACTGATGCTGAGGTATTACCATTGTGTAACAAGACACCCTTAAGAATTCTCTTAGAAGAATCAGTAAATATCCGCCATGATGTGGAATCGTAATTATCATATCGCAGTCCAGTTTCATGACTACTTCAAGGAATATTATGACAATACACCAGTGAGCCCTCTTAAGAAAACTATTCCGCTAACTCTTTTTCACGATGCCTATATCACGAAAATACGTGATCCTAAGATTTGTTCAGCATCCTTCCATAGGCCCAAGTCTCCCACTGAGTCATTTAGTTCAGCTTGGATAAACTTTTGCGGTTGGTCTATCTCAGGATTGAATTCGTCTTCATCGGTTTTTTCATCTGAACTTTCATCTGATGATTGCTGTTAGATAGTGTGAAAAAAAGGTGGAGGAATAGGGATTCCTGGTCCATGATATACAGGTCATTTAGCTGGAGGTTAAACAGGATATTGATTTTTTTGTTAATTTTTGGAATTGAAACCCTTGGCATGACAATATGGACTGGATATAAACACCAGCAAAGCCAAGGTAATGATCATCAGCAAGGAAAACATAACTAGAGCAAATCTTTATGTGAACGAAATGAGAATTGAACGAGTCTCACAATACAACTACTTGGGAAATAAAATCAATGAGTCGTGGGACAATACCCAAGAGATTAAATGTCGCATCGGAAAGACAAAAAGTGCATTATTGACTATGAGCTCTGTATTCAAGAGCCATGACCTCATCCTAGACACAAAAATAAGGCTCCTTAAATGTTATGTGTACTCGGTGCTTCTGTACGGAGTAGAAACGTGGACATTAAAGGCAAAAACTCTATCAAAACTTCAGGCTTTTGAGTTGTGGCTATACAGAAGGATCCTGAAGATACCATGGACAGACAAAGTCACCAATGAAGAAGTACTGCGGAGGATGAACACAACTGCGGATTTGGTCAACATTATGAAGGACCGTACGCTACAGTACTTGGGACATATAATGAGAAATCAAGGCAGATACGATCCACTTCAATGTACTTTGCAAGGTAAAATTTAAGGAAAAAGGGCCCCAGGACAAAGAAGAATATCCTGACTTGGTAACTTGAGAGCATGGTATAGAAAGACCTCAACACAGCTATTTCGTATAGCAACCAACAAAGTCATCATAGCCAGAATGATCGCCAACGTTCAGAACGAATAGGCACCCTAAGAAGATATCGCAGAAACAAATGTATCAGTCGTCTCCATGGTTTTTTGGATCCCTCTGCTATACCATAGGAATGACGAAGGGTAAAGAGTTACGTGCACCTTTTGTCTAGTTTGTCAGTAGTTCGACACACTGAAAGCACACTTTGTGTGAAGCCCAAGGTTTGCCCTGATCACCAAGCTTTACACCGAAGTAAGCGTAATAAGCTTTCTTTATGACATTATGGCGCTATACAAACAACTGACGCTAACTAACTCTATTTACGCAATACGCAACTGCCAATTCCGTCAAGTTGACGGCATGGGCAGTGTTGCCATTCAAATGAAATTAACATAATGTATTAAAATATTTTCTATCGATCTATCAAGTATTTTAAAGAAATAATTTTAATGCAATTTCAATTTGCAAATTATAATACATAATATCTCAAAAGATTTTTTTAATTTTGTGAAAAATTTTGACGGGATGGACTTAAACCGAAATCATATTCAGAATCAGCGTACCTGTATTAGCTAAGGACACATGTCAAACTCAAAACACCAAAAATCATGTCGGCCTGTGTTATCTAAACACATTTTCTGTAGTTAATCATACAGGATCGAATAAAAGTTACTGATTTCTCAATTAGGTAAATGGAATTAAAAAAAAATAAAAGATTTTTGGATCGGTAAACGGCCGTTATCTAATTATAAATTGTCATCTTTACTATCATGTTTTCATTGTTATAAATTTATTATTTTATTATTATTCAGACCAGCAACTTACTTAGCATTTATTATGTTGAGTTTTATTATCAGATTAAAAAAATCATCTTTAGCTTCTATACCCAAATCGCCCCTACTAATTTACACAATTACATAGACCTGTTTGGTGGCTACCACCAAATCGCTTAGGAACACTGAACGTAATAATAGAGCCCCAACGGATGATTATGTTAAATGCTGTCTTATTGTCCTCAGAAACCTGTCATTAGTCTTACTGAAAAAGTTGTTATTTCGGGTAATCGCCGGTATCGCTATAAATATCAAATATATACCTTTTTTGTCTTAAATGATAGAGAAATCTCAGTTATTAGGAGAAGTTTATTCCGCGGCAGCTCCCAGTCTTGAATCTAGAATGAATACAAGATATATTTATAAAAATTCCCATCAAAGGCTAAACTGATTATGATTTGCATTAGTTTCTTATTACTGCATAGTAGTAATAGGAAACACGCTTAATGTGGTGTAGTTAATTAGAGAATTCAATTAAATAATTTAGAGTGAAAAGTGTCAATTCGTATCAGAAGGAGAATGGAGAAGGAAGACCTGAACATCATCGGAGTATACGGCCCAGAAAATAACAAGCCTCAAACAATAAGGGAAACATTTGATAAGGAATTACAATAAGTAATAAACCAGCTGCCTAGTTCTACCACTTGGAACTCTTTAAATTCTTAAGATAGTCCTACCAGGGAAAATGAATCAATCCCTGCTCTCCGCAGATTCCGGGAGTTTCCTGACCCGGGAAACTAGTACCTGTTTGGGGTCACTTGTCCCGGGTATAAGATGAAGTCCACAATGGCAGCCACGGCGGAGAAGCAGAGCTTAGGTATGGTGCGGATGGCGGAAGTGGCAACCCTGGATAATAGGAAAATATAGAATCAAAACAGTAGCATCTGATCCAGAATGGACGGCTACGAACAGCGTCTGACCCAGAGTGGGCGGCTGCTTTATATTTACTTGGGTTACATACAAAGCCAAAAGCCAAACCCTACTAAAACCCAAGTATGTGCATTCCATCTAAACAACCAACTGGCGCATGTAAAACTGAATGTTTCTTAGGAGGGACAACGTTTGAAACATACTGATAGGCCTAAATATCTTGGAGTGATACTAGACCGGTCGCTAACGTATAAATTCCACTGTCACAGCACAAGACAGAAGGTTTCTACAAGAAACAACCTTCTCCGGAAACTTGTAGGGTGCAAACCCCCAGGTCTTGAAGTCAACAGCTGAAGCCTTATGTTTCTCAACAGGGGAATATGCTTGTCCCGTCTGGAGTAGATCTAGACACGCCCAACAAGTCACTACGGCGTTAAATGAAATATGTACAATAATTACCGGTTGTATGAAGCCTACCGTAGATGCGCCTCACAATATGTGGAGAAGTTCAGGCAAACTTTCGATAAAAGGCACCAATTATAGGGGTTTGGCGAACCGCCAGGAATCAGCCGACTTAAATCAAGGAAAAGATGTATGAGAAATGTCAGCGTCGAACCATCCGAACTGTTCCCCCTACATTCAGAACGACCTAATGGAATGAACCTGGACTGGAGAACCTAGCGGACACTCAACCGCATACGCACACGTGTTGCCCCTGTAAAACAGAACCTCATCAAGACAGATAGCGACGCACGTTGTGAATGTGGGGAAATACAAAACGTGGAGCACCTGAGATTATGCAGACTATTTGCCCATCACAGAGCACCCTCGATGATTTATGGCTCGCAAATACAAAGGGTGTAGACGTAGCCCGATATTGGGCAGAAAAACTATAGTCGGATCCAGACACGAAAAAGTAAAGTAAGGTTTACATGCAAGAAGTTTATTATTTTAAAAATTTAATGAGTTAGTGTAGATGGCAATTATGTAAAAAAGAGGCATTTTGCCTATAATCCTACAATTCTAGCGTTATTTAGGATCAACAATTGTTGGTGATGGTCACTAGTACTATCTTCTTCTTCTTCTTCGTCTAGCCATTCACGTCCACATCTGAACATAAGCCTCTTCAAGTCTTCCTTTCCATTGTTTTTTATTGTACGCTACTTGTAGCCAATTTTTCCCGGCAGTCCTTTTCAGATCATCTGTCCATCTCATAGGAGGTCTGCCTCTGGGTCTTTTGTGTTGGTATGGTCTCCAGGTTAAAATTGATCTGTGCCATTTGTTTAGATCGCTCCTAGCTACATGTCCAGCGTATTCCCATTTCAACTTTAATAATTTTTGCACCACATCGGTGACTTTGGTTTTCTGTCTTATCCATGTGTTTGTTTTCGTGTCCTTAAGTTATATACCTAGCATTGCTCTTTCCATCGCGTGTTGAGTGACTCTAAGTATATTATCGTCACTAGTACTATATCTTGACCTAAATTTCGGTTTGAATGCTTTTGAATGCATTCAAATGCATTCAAACTATGCTCACATGGTTTAAATGCATTTTTTTAAATAAATAAATTCAGACAAAGCAAATGAAAAAGTCAACCATATTTAGTGCAATACTACTCAAGAAATTTAAGTTCAACTAATGAGTATATATTGAAGGATTAATCAATTTTTTCGGTTTTTTGTCAATATCGCGGGATATATGCACTATATAGTGTGGTTTTCTTTACAAATATCTTTGCAAATCTTTTTATATAGGAAATATTTTTATATAGGATATCCTTATTTGGTGTTTTCCGGCTCAGTTACGCTGTCGGCGTGAAGAAATGCCTTTAAACATTTCCAGCGTAACAGTCCTATTCTTTGAAAACAAAAGACGGTTTAATGTAAAAAGCGAGCACAGAAAAAGGCTTTTATTGT